CCGCGCGACTCTCGGGCGACACGACCGACCGGGACGTCCCGTGCGGGGCCCTGGAGGTGCCTCTGTCACCCGAGCCTGAGAGGCCGCCTCAATGTCGCGCTTTACTCGGGCAGGCTCGCGGGGCGCCCGGATCTCTGAATGTCCCCTAAGGCGACCGATCCTGTCGCCGCCTGCCCGGGTCCCGTGCGACGCTGAGGCTTGTGTCCTGGTTACCTGAGGACAAGTTAGGGTCCAGACCTGGAGCCTCTCCTGTCGCTCTGGGCGAGTCCCCTAGTCCCCCACGACTTGTGTGGCCAGCTACCCAGCCAAGGGTCGCACAGAGAGGTCGCAGGGCCCTCTGACTCCGCTCCCTAAGGCGCTGTGATTTTACTCTTTATCCGCAGCCCGTGCACGGGAACCCCGCGAGGGCTGCTAGGAGGTGGGGACGCCCGAAAGAACACAAAGTCGTCCGGGTGGAGTGAATACACACTTTACATTACCGCCAAGCCGGGGTAGGGGCTGCTGCTGAGGCAGGAAGGGCGTTGAGAGCTCCGGGCTAGCCCGGCATACCTAGTCCAGCTCAGTCCAGACTACATGGGGGGACCCTGTCTCCAAAATATAAAATAGGACGAGCTACTCACAAACTGTTACGACGCTCATTTAGGTTGAATGCATATGCGGTGTGTGGATGTACTGTGTACAGGTGGGGATAAGTCTGGAAGTGAAGACTTCCTGATTGGGGGGAGGGGGTGACTGAAATTCCTGAGCTGGACCCCAGAAGCTCCCGAGCAGGAGGAATGACAGAGATTGCTCCAAGACAAGTGAGATGCCAGCCTTTGCCTTAAAATGTGCATGTCAGGCTTGTGGGGAGCTGTGTTTATCTGCTTGTTCGGTTGGTTGGTTATTGGTTTTCTGAGATGGTCTCCCTGTGTAGTTCAGGCTGCCTGAACTTAAGGTGATCCCCCTGCCTCAGCCTCCTGGGCACTGGGATCACAGGTGTGTGCCACCACGCCTGGTGTGGAACAGACTAAATTGGGAGATCTTTAGACTCAAAGCAGCAGTTTAGGTTCTGCTCAGTAGCCACTCATGAGAACCTACTCGGTATGCGCCTTTAGCCCAGTTCTCAGGCGGTGAGCTTCGTACTCTGGTACAGGAGGAGCGGGTCACTGTTGTGGCTTGGAGTGAAGCCATACCGTGTGCCCCGGCGAGAGGAATAGCGATGGTTCATGTAGCAGTGGGATCCCAGTCAGGCAAACTCTCCTTCCCCTGAGCTGGTGGACGCAGAACCTGGGGAGCCGCGCTCTGCTTCTCCCTTCCAGCTGGTCCTTGCCAGGTTACAGTGCTCACCATCCACTCGACTACCTGAGCAGGACCTAGGAGATTAGGAGCCTGTCCGGGTCCTGGGCTGTGACCTTGAGGACAGGTCTGGTCCCCTCTCCGGCTCTCCTGCCCTGTGTCCCAGGCTTTGCCCTGGAGCCAGGACCTGGGAGCCAGGGTAAATCCTTTGTCCTTTAAGGTGAGTGTGAGACATTTTATCGCAGAAGCAGGAAGGAGTAATGCTGTAAAATTCACCAACACCCTGAGAGCTTGTGGCCCCGGGTTCAGAGAAATAACTAGGCCTTTTCTTCCTAATTGAGAACTCTCCCAATAGCTCGCTTAGTAGCCAAACTGGCTAAACCCAGCATATTTTAAAGATGAGAAAAATCAAACAGCTCCTCTTGGAAGGAGGCTGCCAACTTGAATGCAAGTCAAGTGCAGCCTCCAGCCTGGGCCCTCCGGACCTCTGCTGGCTCTCGGTTGAAGTCTGAACTGATCTTGCTGGATTCTTGGAGAAACTGCCAATCACAAACACCTCTGAATTTTGACTAGCAAAAAAAGCTGTGCCTTGCTCAGAATGACCGAACAAAGCCAGAGGACACCAGCCCGGGGTTGCCCTCTGATGTTCAATCTCAGAGCAAAATTCAGGAGGGAAATCGGGTTTGGTTTGTTTGGTTTATTTATTTGTTTTGTCCTTTGGAACACGCTTGAATCACTGCCTCAAATATGAACGGAAATCTGTCACCAACAACGCGAGGGCCAAGGTTTGATTTATTTTTTAAGCTGCTCCCGGAGGAACAAGCACAAAACAAGTAACAAACAATGCAGTAAAAGTCCAGCGCCAGTGTGGGCCGGCGGTGTGGGGGAAGCCGGCATGGGCAGAGGGCCACAGCAGGGCTGCAGGCCGAGGTCGAAAGGCAGCAGAACCCGACGGTCCAGGCCAGCAGCAAAAGGAGCTGCGTTCCCCGGGAGGCAACAGAGGGCCTAAGTGCAGGGAGTCTGAAAGTTCGGCCCAGAAACCGAGCCCTGACAGCGGCACAGGACCCAGAGCATCGTGAGGCCTGGTGTCCCTCAGCAGGGACACCCTGGCTCAGGTAGTCAGTGCCGAGGGTCAGACTTGGTGCCTGGTCTGTTGTTAGCCTCTCACCGAGGGTGAGAGAAGGTAATCAAGGCAAAAAGAATGCACCAGGTGTGTTGGCACACAAACCTGTAATCCCACACTCCAGGAGGCTGAGGCAGGAGGATAGCAAGGTTGAGCCCAGCCTGGGCAGTTTAGCAAGACTTAGTGAGACCTTGGCTTGGATTAAAAAGAAAAAAAGTGTGTGTGTGTGTGTGTGTGTGTGTGTGTGTGTGTGTGTAATTATATATTTATGTATTTTATGTTATATAGCTATATATACAATTTATATATAATTATATATAATATGTAATTTATATATGTGTGTGTATGTATATATTTTAGGGGGCCGTTGAGACAGGGTCTTGCTGTGAAGGTCAGGCTAGGCTTGAACTCACTATGTAGCCCAGGCTATCCTCAAATTCACAGCCATCCGCCTACCTCAGCTTCCTGAGTGCTAGGATTATAGGTGTGTGCCTCCCCACCCTGTCAAAATTTTTAAAAAAGGTGAGGGGGGGCTACGGATGTAGCTCACTGCATGCAGTGGCCCTGGGTTTAATCCCCAGTACCATAAAAACTAACAAACCCCAAATGCCAAAATACAAAAGTTTAGACAGATGTCGTGGTGCATACCTGTAATCCCAGCAATTGGGAGGCTGAGTCAGGAGAATTACCTTAAGTCTAAGGCCAGCCTGGGTTTCTTATGCATTCAAGGCCAGCCTGAACTAAAAGGTGAGAGCCTGCCTCAAAATCAACAACGAACAAACAAAATCATTTTTAAAAATTAAAACATGTTTTTACGAGAGTATTACTCATGTTTGTCTGTAAAGATGACGCTGACCAGTGTCAGCATTGTGAAAGGCGTAGGACCTCCTGATCTGTAGGATCTTGTGGTCCCCAAGAGCCCGCTCACGGGACGGAACAAGGTGGCAGACTCCAGGGAGGTTTCTGGAACGCTCTGCTTTATTCAGGAAATGCACGGGCTTATATAGGGAACCATGGGAGGAACGTTTAACATTTGGCAATATCTTATTGGCCAGACATGGCGGAGTGATTTTTCTTGGGCCAGGGGAAGGAGTCACGGACTAGGGGCGGAGGTGTAGCCTGTTGGACCCAGTATCTACACACCTAGGCGAGTTAGCTCAGCCTTAGCAAGGTCTCCTAGTTAGCTCAGGAGACAGGAGTGCTGCGCCAGGCTTGAACTTCTCCCACATAGGATGAGGGAAATTCAGGAGCTGATCCGAAGGGTTAATGTCAGTCGTCAACCTGACCAGCTAGAGAGACTCTGAGGACCCTTCTGAGTTTGTCTGGGAAGATCAGTGTCTGGTCCTTGGCCACTGTCTCTCTTCCTGCTCAGTTTCCCAGATGATGTGAGGTGATTAGTTTTGCCCCACCACGCCCTCTGCCACTGCATTCCTGCCTTGCAGCAAGCTTACCCCGGACTGAACCCTCAGAAACTAGGAGCCAAATTGAACTGTCTCCTCCTGTAGATTGGGTATGCCATCAGCGGAAAGCTGGTTAATATATGACTTTTAAAAGTTCCTGCATAAAAACTATAAAAAGAATTAAGATGTATTATGTACATGGACCAACTCCGAATGATGAATATAATTATGTACCACACACATGTGCTAGTAAACATGAAATGTTTCACATGTAGAAAAATTACTGTGTGCCTTTGGACAGGTTATTAAACCTCTCTGGGCTTCAGTGAGCAGGTGTAAGAAATGGCTTCTTGGTGCTGGTGTGGTACACACCTGTAATTGCAGCACTTGGGAGGCTGAAGGAGGAAGATCACCATGAGTTCGAGGTTAGCCAGGGCTACATAGTGAGTTCAAAGCCGGCCTGGACTACATAGTGAGACCCTGTCTCCAAAGAAAGGAACGAAAGAGAAATGATTTCTTAATC